TGCATATAATCAATATAAGGATCAAACTGAACACTTGGACCTCATTAGCATGTTTGATATTATTGAGCGTTCTTCTGATTTATTTCAGGAGTATGAGCATAATGAATTGTTTTAAACCATTAACCAAACTAGACGGCTTACATAATTCATTTTCATCAGCTGTACATACCTTTTTAGCTTTATGCACTTCTTCAATCAATACCTTATTTAAACCTGAACTGTTATGAATGTTGCAGAAAAAGAAGAACTCCGTAAATTGGGGTTGAAAGTATTGTTTGGAGTCTTGGATTTTGCTGGATGCACTAAGAACATAACTGCATGGAAATATTTGGCTAGATATCTGAGACAGCTCTTAATGGAGTGAGTAATAAACACAGCGTTTATTTGCTTGTATTTTTGGATTTCTTCAGCCCTTTTCTTCTGAGTGTCAGAAGCTAGAAAATACAAAGACACAAATTTAACATACAACAATTCTCTCCAGATACTGTGTACTATCAAGTACTACATCTTGTAAGTCCATTGTGAGCTGGATATGTAAAACTTTACCTATTTTTTGGCAGAATAAAGGATATCACAAAATTGTTTATATATTAATTTTAGTTGTATAAGGTACCCAGGGTAAGTGGAAACTTGTTTCAGACTTAAACTGATCTTGGGGAAAAAATGTGTATCTTAGTCTATTTGGGTTTCTGTAACAAAATATCATAATTTGGGTGGCTTTTATATAACAAATTTATTTTCACAAGTTCTGGAGGCTAGGAAGTCCAAAGTGAAGGTACCAGCAGATTCATTGTCTGATAAAGAACAAGATTCTCAGTTCATAGAGGGTTCTTTCTCCTTATGTCCTCACACGGTGGAAGGGAGCAAGGCAATTGCCTGGGGCTTCTCTTAAAAGATCATTAATTTAGGTCATGATTCATCTCCTCATGTCCTAATTATTTCCAGTGGTGATTAGGTTTTTTTATATTATTTTTTTAGTTATACGTGTATATAATATCTTTATTTTATTTTTATGTGGTGCTAAGGATCGAACCCAGTGCCCCACGCATGCTAGGCAAACGCTCTACCTCTGAGCCACAACCCCAGCCCGTGATTAGGTTTTAACATGAATTTTTGTGGAGGGTGGGCAAGCATTCAGATCGTATACTCAATGTAAACTCCTTTCAAATATAAAGGACTGTTTAAACCCCTGCTAAACCATAGGGCTTTTTTTTTTTTTTTTTTTTTTTTTTGCAGGGAAGGGGTTTGCCAGGGATTGAACTCAGGGGGCACTTGACCACTGAACCACATCCCCAGTCCTATTCTGTATACTATTTAGAGACAAAATCTCTCACCCAGTTGCTTATTGCTATCCTCCTGCCTCAGCCTCTGAACCTCTGGGATTACAGGGGTGTGTCACCACACCCAGCTACCATAGGGCTTTTGAAAGCCAAGAAACATAATATTTGCTTTTTAAATTTCTAGAAGTTTTGCCACAGGAGTCATACAGGTGCTAAAGAAGTATATCCTCAAATTATTGATGAACATTTAGCATTGCTCTTAAGCTGTGAGATCCATGTATTTATGTATTTTATATAATGTCATTTTAATTAAATTTTGGTAGCATATAATTTAAGGTTTTAAAGTAACTTTTAAATAATTAAAGCATTTATTGAACATTTGCTATGTACCAGATACTGTAAAAGGAGCTTTATGTGAAACCTGCTATTACTACTGGACTAGTTTAGTCCTAATAACAATGCCATGAAATAAGTATCATTTTTTATCCTCAAGGAAATTGAGAATCAGAGAGGTTAAGCAACCTGCTCAAGATCAATAGTAGATGGAATATCTGAAATTTAAAGGATTTTTACTTCAGAATCACGGCATCACTTTACTGTAATGAACTGGCTATTTAGTTAAGAGGAAATTAGAATGTGGAGATCAAAGAGAATTAAAAAGTATTTGATTTTATGTTATTGCTAATGTTAGTCTGGAAATAGCTTCCTTTAGCTAAAATCAAATTCTAATGTACAGATTTGTCCCCATTACTGACCTTCCCTTTTGACATTTTTGTTTTTAGGAATCGTCTTGCATGGGTTCAAGAAGAATGGAGTTCCAGGAAAAGCTGGTGGCCAACCTTTCACTTCAGCTACTTTTGGGCAAAAAGTGACTGGAAGGAAGATACAGATTTGACCTGTGAGAAAGCTTTTGTAGCTGGGATACTGTTAGGAAAAGGTACATTTTTGTTTTCTTTTAATTTTATCTTTTGAATATGACCATTCTTTCATTGTAGAGCTTATCTAGTGTGGTCCATAAGGATTCTGGGTGCTCAAGAAATAATTGTTGAGCTGGGC